CTCGGTCTTTCCGGCCTACCCTCGACAACCTCTCCCCCGCCCCACCCCGCCCCCTGCTTCAACTTTCCCCCCGCAGTTTAATTATGCGATCAAGCCCCGCTTTTGTCTCGTATATAAAGGGCAGTCCTGCCTCGCCCTGCTTTAGCCTGGCCTAGCAGTCGCACTGCAGGGAGCGTCCCCCGTGCTGTGTGTGTGTGTATAGGAGGGAAAGAGAGGGGAGGGGCAGAGCTTGTGTCATTCTGAAGAGGAAGTATGAAAAGTTGACGCGACGTGAAAGTCTATTCGATTAGCGCGGCCTCCACCATGATGAACCGCTCTGGTTGTCAGTTTGTTGTTGTTGCGGTGTTGGTGTTGTGGTGGTGGTTGTGGTGATGGTGGTGGTGGTGATGGTGGTGTAGTGGTAGCGTGCACGCCAGCCGTAGACTCCCCCTGCCAACAAGGCGGTGCCAATACTGGACCAGCAGCAGGAACAGCAGGAGCAGTGAGAGCAGAGGGAGTAGTAGGAGTAGCGGGAGTAGCAAGAACAGCAGGAGCAGGGGCAGCAGGAGCAGGAGAAGAAGTGAGAGCAGAGGGAGTAGCAGGAGCAGCGGGAGCAGCAGGAACAGCAGGGGCAGCTGGAGGTGAACGAGATGAGCAGCTAGGAGCAGCACGATGAACAGCAGCATCAAGAGCAGCGGCAACGGCAGTGGCTACGGTGTGGTGGTGGTGGTGGTGGTGGTGGTGGTGGTGGTGGGTGATTCCGCACACACACTCTCTGCTTTCCACCTCGCCGCGTCGGTATCTGCGCGCGCTGATTGGTCGAGAGCGGTTGAAAAGACAGAGTGCCCCCAGGCCAGAGGCGCCCGGCAGCACACACACACACACTCACACACAACTACTACTACTACAACTGCTGCTGCGCCCACTCCACCCGCCACCACCAGCAGCACCCCCGAGCACCACCACACCACACCAGAGGGTGCGCGCCGCCACCGCTTCGCAGCCAAGCATCACACAGCACTGCTGCACAGGCCGGCGAGCCGGGGCTCGTGTCCTGCTAATGGCACTAACCGCCAAATAATTGCGCCCCCTATGACCCCCCGCCGCCCCCTCTTCACCCCGGGGTCGCCCCCCGTCACCCGACTGTTTTCCAGCGCGCGCCAACGCAGGCGGAACCACAATTGCCCCCACCGCCCTATTTCACCACTTATGGCGCGGCAGGCCCCACGCTTTGCTGCTGCTGCTGGTGTTGTTGGATGCACCACCACTCCATGCGGCGGCGTGCGGGCTTGAAAGCCCCCCTGAAAGCCGAGCCCCGCGTTCCGCGGCGAGCCCGGGCTTTCGCCTGCCGCCCCCGGGCCCGAATGGGTTATTGCGCGCTCTAGCAGGTACTTTTCATTCGTTTTTTTTTTTTTTTTAATATTTTGGAACAACTTTTTTGTTGCCAATTGAATTTTTTAGCGGACGGGCGCATGCTTGTACTTTTACAAGTTTGAATTGTAAATGTGAGACATCTTTCGTGGAAAATTTTCCTGTATACCCGGAGCGACAATTTTTCACAGTGTCTGTAAAGACACTTAAGTCATTAGCGAATCAAAAAGGGAGTTACGTACAACCTTTATTTTTCTTGTGCATGCTTTGAAGCCGCAGCAGTGGCGGTTGTGGTTGTGGTGGCCAGCACTAGAGGCCAAGACCGTCGCGCAGTCCGAGCAGTTTGGGGCGCGTTGGGCCTCTGTATCGGGGATCGTGCCGCCGTGGTCGGGCGGCGGCGGGGTCAGGCCAGGGCCGCAACCAGCAGCACAGCAGCAGCAGCAGCAGCAGCAGCAGCAGCGCGGCGGGGCGGCGGGCGGGCGGGCACGGGCCGTCGCTGTTTGCTCATGAGATAAGGCTCCGGAGCCTGCCGAGTCCTCGTAGGGGCCGGCGGGGCGGGGCGGCTCCGGAGCATGGGACAAGCTGGGGCCTAGCGATGCACGGTCAGGGGAAGAAGAGAGGAAGGGGCTGTGGCGGGAATATAAATGCGTTTGACAAATTCCCCCCTCCATACACTTTTTAAAAAGTACCACAACAACACAAAGCCTCAACACACTGCCTCGTGCAGACGGACCGCTCACTACCCAAGGGGATCGTCCAGAAAGTTCATCGTTACGAACCTTCAACGACTCTGCAAGCTCTCAGAGCGCCTGGTGGGTAGGCAACATCTCGCCTGCAGTGCACGCGTGTAGTGTGTGTGGCCTACCCAATCTCGCGCAGGCGTCATGATCGCATAATTTGCGAACAGGATCTGCGAGAAAAAACGGACGTACTTTCTAGACGACCCCTGCTTACTTGCAATAAGAACCCCTTCGGGCAGAGACGATATGCCGGACCGTCCGACACCTCTATGCACTTGCGGTGCAGTGTATCGGCCACCGAAACATTCATGCTGAGACCCGCCGCACCTGGGCCGGTATGGGTGTTACACATTAACGCGTTACGTGGTGGTTCAGTGAGGGGGGGGGGTCACCCGTTTCCCAGCATGGCGTGGCCATGTTATAGGTAGTCTCTGTTTGCGACTCACGTCAGCATGTCAAACAACAACGCACGACATTCTAGGGCAAAAACAAAACTCATTTGCGGCCCACAGTTTTGATAGTTAACACAAAATCCAACAGAGTCCATGTACCTTTCTGCGAAGGAAAATAAGTAACATGACCTCGCACACATGATAAAGTACCCGCAAAAAAATGTACTAAATCAGCACTTCTCTGAATGGTGGGTACACTCTGTTTGGGAGCAACGCCCGCCCTGTCCTCTGGCGGCGGGTCCTGGCGGGTCGGTTCGGTATTCGGGAGGGGGTCGCGTGGTCACTCGGGCGATAGTGTGTCTGGCCGCCCGGGCCATCGGCCATCGGCTGGCGCCCCTCCAAACTTCATCAAAGATGCCTGAGGGAGCGGCAGAGAGGCGGGAGGGGGGGGGGGAGCAGCAGCAGTAGCAGCAGCAGCAGCAGCAGCAGCAGTAGCAGTAGCAGCAGCAGCAGCAGAGGCCAGGGGGGAAGGCCAAGGTTCCTCTCCCGGTAATTGCTGACCGAACATTAACGCGCGCTCTCGGGCTGAGCCGGGAGGGACTTGGGCTGACATTGAGGGCCACCGCGCCACCGCCACGCCCCGCCACGCCCCGCCACGCCCCGCCACGCCCCGCCAACAAACGCCGAGCGTGTCAGCTGGGCCTGATTGATTCATTACCCGATAGGGAAGCGCTGCTGCTCCATGCATTGGGGGATCGACATGTCGATCGGTTTCAAATCTGACTCTCTGACTATTGAGTGAAACAGTATGTCAGGTTGTTTGGTTGTTGTTGTTGTTTTCTTTGTGGGTGAGTGATTTTTTTTGATTTTTTTTTTCATCGCTTAAATAATATAAAACCCCCTTTACACGGCTCGTCGGCTCGTGTCGCCGCCGACAGCAGAGGGGTGGTTGGTTGGTTGGTTTGGTGTGGTGGAGCGCGCCGCGCGGAGCAGTCCTCCTGACGAGTCATAAAACGGAACCCCTGGCGCCAAAGTTTTTGCCGCAGCCAACACACACACGCTCCGCGCGCCACTTACGGGCAGCAGTCGCGCAACAAGAGTGTCCCGCGCACCGCGCTCTGCGAGTTAGCAGGTAGGTTGCACCCCGAGACAAGCAAACGCGCGTGTGTGACATCCAGCCACTAATAAAGAGAAATAAGAAGTGAAGTGGGACACACACACACATCAAGTCATTTGTCAGACACTTTAGGGGTCGTGCCCATAATTCGTGACTCCGAGGGGGTACAAAATACGTATGATGGGGTCCCAAAAGGATCAGGATCATTACTGAAGCCCGTAGGATCCCACAATTTTTGTACCCCGTGGTACATATATATTATGGGGTATCTATGGATTCCAATGACGTTTATGTTCCTTTTGGGACCCCATAATATCCCTCCCCTCCCCCAAAAAAGGCACCTCGTAGTTAGTAGCACGACTCCTCATTTCTTTTTCTTCAAGAAGTCCGTGTTTTTCTCCTCTTTTTTACACTCGCTTGCCACACTCTGCAGGTGCGTGATGATGTAGCTCCGTGATTGTCATCCCCCGAGCGCTGTGCTGCGCTCTGCTTTGACGGCGCGCTCATGTCCGAGGACCCCCCCCCCCCTCCTCCTCGTCACTCTCGCTCCAACCGCCTCTCCCCCGCGCCGGGCACGCACACCACACAGAGAGACTCCAGCAGAGCTGCTATTGTCGTCAAATCTTTCTCTGGGGGCTCATTTGCCTAGGGAAAGGGACGGTCGGTAGGGGGGGGGGGTCATGTCATCTGGGAGGGGCGGCGACGCGGCGGCGGCGGGGACAGTCGCGCTTAGCGTGCGTGTGAGCACGGACTGCCCTGAGCCCACCTCCCCCTACCCCTCTCCCTCCCTTTCCCCGGAGGCACACTATACCCAGGAGGAAAGGGGGTGTGTCCCGCCCCTGCTTGGTTTGCAAACAAAAACACATCTCTCGCACACGTGTGCAACCCCCCGCCTAATCTATCTTGTGTGTCCCCCTCGGCCGCTGACAGCCTAATCCACACCATGCTGGGGGGGAGGGGGGGGGAGATGCGATGTGACGAGAAATCCAGCGAGCGCCTCGTTAAAAACCTGGAGTGAATACGAGGCGTGCGAATTTCTCATACATCGCCGTTGCTGCTGGTGCTTTTTTACGACCCCCTCTCTTGCTGCCTGACCGCCCACGCGGTATCCAACCCCCCCCCCCCCCCCACCCCCTTCTCCTCCACGAGGCGGCGGCGCGGGAGCCAGCTGCTTGAAGACGAGCCAAAGAAAGCACCTCGCGGCAAGTGGACGTGTCGGCGGTCGTCGGGACGCCGATCGGTTGCTGATGACGGCTGCTCTGGGGTTGCAGACCCAGACCCTGCTGGGGTCCGTGACCATCTGGCGCCAGCTGGGCGCCGCCGAGTGACACTCGAGAAACAAAAGGTCTCTCGCAGGTGGGCGCGCGAGCCGGGCGTCTTGCAGGTGGCTGCCGTACTTACCCAAGCGTTGTCATGGTGACGATGGTGTACCAGAAGGCGGCGGGAATGGAAGTGAAGTTGGTGCCGTCGACGTTCTTCTCGGCGTAGAACATGACGGTGGCGAAGATGATGATGGCCATGGCGAGCGAGAAGACAAGGAAGCCCAGCTCGGACGCGCACGACTTGAGGGTGTACCCGAGGATCCGCAGGCCCTGCGAGTGCCGGGAGAACTTGAATATCCGGAACACCCGGAACACCCGGAGCGTGACGAACGCCCCGGACACGTCATCGTTGTCCGTGATGCCGAGCCCGATGTAGTACGGCAGGATGGCCACCACGTCGATGATGGACATGACGGAGCGCACGAACTTGCAGCGGTCCGGCGCCGCGAACAGCCGCAGCAGGTACTCGGCCGTGAAGATCATGACGCAGGCCGTGTCCAGGCAGAAGAAGACGATCTTGTAGCGCTCGCCGCACGGCAGCGTGCCCGCGCGGCCGGGCCGGTGGCCGCACGGCACCGTCTCCACCACGTTGGCCATGACGGACACCGCGATGAAGAAGCCCGTCACGTAGTAGAACACGAGGGCCGCCGTCGAGGTGTGGGGGTTCTCGAAGGCTCTCCACATCTTCTGCCGGATGTTGGTGAGCTGCGGCAGGTTCTGGTCGCCGTTCTCCGACAGCTTGTCGTCCATGAGCCGCTCCGCATTCTCGCGCTTCCGGTCTCGGTAGTCCTCGTAGCAGCAGTCGCCGATCACGTCCGGCAGGATGCCGAAGAAGGCCAGCTCCTCGTCGTAGCTCGTCAAGCACTCGTGCTTCGGGTAGTGGAGCTTGCCCGTGCGGTAGTAGTTGAGGATGTGTCGGAAGATGTCCGGGTCCCGGTCGAAGAAGTACTCCTTGCACTCCTCGTCGTAGAAGAACTCGCGCTCGTTGGAGCCCAGCAGCGTGTCCGGGTACTTCTCCAGCGTGTTGCGCCATGTCTCGAAGCGCCTGCCCGACACGTTGATCAGGAGCTTCTCGTCGTCCGCTTTCCGCCGGTCCTTGGGGATGGGCGGCGGCGGCAGGGGGTGCGTGGCGATGGGCACCCATCCTATGGCAGCCGCGCGGGCGAACGGGAGCCACGCGGCGACCGAGGCCATGCTCGATGCTATAGGCTACCCTGCGCGCGGCTGTCCTCGCTCTGCTCCCGGCCTCCGGGACTGCGGCAGCCTGCTCGCCGGCGTCCGGGGCCGGCGCCTCCGGGGGGTCCGCGGGGACCAGGCGGTCCTGGGCGGCGTCCTGGACCCATCCTCCACTCGTGCACCTCGCGCGCACCACTCACATGCTGCCGCGCCCGGCCCGCACACCGCACTGCACACTCATCCGCGCCCGCCCTCACGCCCGCTCGCACGCACGCACGCACGCTGCTCGGGAGCACGCCCGGCCCCGGCACGGACCACTCGCACGTGTCACAGCGCACGCAGCGCGACTACGCGGCAGGTAACGGCGAGGTGCAGCCTCCGCCGCGGCTGCGGCCCGCTATTTCTGGCCCGCTGGTATCCTCCTCGGCCATGGTGTCTGCACGGCGCGGCCCGTCCGTGGGGTCCCGCCCGTGGGGTCCCGCCCGTGGGCCCGCCCGAAGGGGCCCTGCCCTGGCCTGCCCCAGGCCGGCACGCCCTTCCGCCGCGCACGCCCGCGCGCTCGCCCGCCCGTGCACGCCCGCGCACGCCCGCGCACGCCCTCGAGGCCAGGCTGCGCTGCGCTGGTCGCTGCGCTGCGCTCCGCTCCGCGCGCGCCCCCGCCCCGGCGGCCTCGGCTCGGCGCTCGCTGTCTGCCCCGCCTGCCTGCGCTCGCTCGCCGCGAGGGTCCCGCACCGCTCCCGCACGCTACCCACTGCGTTCTAAATTGATTTTTACCCGTGGAGCCCTGGCAGCCCTGGCAGCCTGCTCTCCCACCACCCACCACGGCCTCCACCCCCACCAGCCCAGCCATCCCCCCACTCGCCGCTCTGCCCGCGCCCCCGCCCGCGCCCCCGCCCACCCCCGCTCACGGCCAGGGGCCCAGGCCGTACAGCTAGCGCCGCCGGAGTCACCTAGCGGCTACCAGCTCACACTGCAGTTCGCCCCTTCCGTCGCCATGGCGACCGTGACGTCATGGACTCCCCTCCCCTCGCCTCCCCAACCTGTTCCACGCGGGGCTGTTCGCTCCTCGTCGCTAGGCTAGGGCCGTGGCGGGGCGTGGCGGGGCGTGGCGGGGGTGCGGCGGGGCGCTGGCGAGGCACACCCGGCCCGGGCGGCCCGGCCCACCCCCTCCCGAGCGAGAGCGCGAGGGCTCCGCCAGCGGAGGAGACTGCGTTCCAGGACGCACTTGGCGCCCTGTTGGTGTCTCCCTCTCTCTCTCCGTGTTTCTCTCTACGCTCTCTCACTCTCTTGCTCTCTCCCCGCCGCGGCCTGGCCTGGGAGGCCTCGGCCTGGGCCTGGGTCGGCCTCTGCGGGGCGGGCTCGGTTCGGCGTCGCTCGGCGTCGCTCGGCGTCGCTGTGGGGGGGCGGTGGGGCGGGCTGGAAGGGGTTCGAGCCCCGTCCACGGAGCTCCGCGACGCACCCCCAGCTGCGCGTAGGGCGGGCAGGGCGCGCAGGGCCCGAGGCCGGAGAGGGGGGGAGGGCACCCGCTGCCGGAGGGGCGCGGCCAGGACCGGCCCGCCCGGGGGCTGACTCCCCAAACACTGCTGCCCCCGCCCGCCCCCGCTGCCCTACCACCCCCGGTGGCTGCTCCTGAACGCACCAACTCGTAGTAGAGTACGTATTTGAACGCGGACTTTGGACGCTGGCCCCTAGCCTTGGGAGAGAGCGGTGGTGGGCGAGGCGAGCGGGCGCAGGGGGGCTGTCCTGCCCGCGGGCGAGGGGTGGGGAGGGGAGGGGCGGCTGGAGGGCGGAACGCAAGGATGGGAGCGGGAGAAACGAGGAAAGGGTGTTCGGAGAGAGAGGAGATACATAGAGAGACGGGCGAGAGCGAGAGAGAAAGAGAGGGATCCGGTGAATTTGCGAGAAGAAAGAGGGAGGAACTGTGCGGAATAAGGGATGAGGGAGTGTGTAGTACCGTAGCGGCGCAAAAGGGGGGCGAGCTGGGGTGCGGGTAGGGGTGGGCGGGAGGGGGGAGGGGGTGCTCGTAGCATCGCACCGTGGCGGCACCCACACCCGCCCCGCCCCGCCTCGCCCCGCCTCGCCCCGCCCAGCCATGCCGTCACGCTGCTCTTACTACTACGTCCGGATCCGGGCCACGGCGGCGGCGGCGGTGTGCGGGAGGGACCCGGGGCAGCAGGAGAAGGGAGGTGTGCGAATGGGGGCGGGTGCGTGCGAAAGTAAGGCGAAGGTGATATGGCGTGGCGCGACGTGGCGTGCCGGAGCTCGCTCGCTCCTGAAGGAGCCGAAGTATACGATCCCCAAGCCCCCCCCCCCTCCCCTCCTCCGGAGATGCATTTGCACACCAACCCCGACCGTACGTACGTACCCTCAACGTCGGCGCCCATAAAAGGGGGTGGGGGTGGAGGAATACGCACACAGTGGGTAACTCTACCAACACTCTCTCTCGCTCACACTCTCGCTCACTCTTTCGCTCACTCTCTCTCTCTCTCTCCACTGCCTTCTCTCCCTCTCTCTGTCGCTCGCTCGCTTCCTCACTCACTCACTCACTCACTCACTCACTCACTCACTCACTCACTCACTCACTCACTCACTCACTCACTCACTCACTCACTCACTCACTCAC